CTCTCCGCGAGGCTCGGGTCCTCGCTGAGCAAGCCTGGAGAGACTCCTGTCTCCTAAGACTCCAGTATTATCCCGTCTTATCACTTGACAGATGTACCGCCCCTGTCAAACCCCCCGTCTGATACTGTCCCCGGAAGGTGGTGGTGGGTTGTGTTATGAAGCTCAACTTCTCTCCCCGTGGAGAGAGAGAGTAGTAGAGCAGAGAGAGAGATGTGCTCTATGGCGCGCCAGTCTCTCTTAAGATAAATTAAGAGTTGCAGAGGTGCTCTGTCAGTACAATGCAGCTGCTGTTGGACAGTAATGACAGCGGTGGAAGCGGGTAATGACACCCGGCTCTGTCCCGCCAGACAGATCACCTCACAACCCTACCATCTTCATTTTTTCTTTCCTAATTCAGCTTTCGATTTGTGTATTGCGCACCGCACATTTCCTCTTTTTCCCCCCTGTCATTGACACGTCTCGTTGTGGACTGGTTGAAGTAAGGTAATTATCAGGGGGAAGAACTAAGCCATTACGATTATGTGGCACCTTAAAGACATAAGGGGATTAAGGATTTAGGATAGGACGAAGGAAAAGGATGTTGCCCATCCATTTGGAGGGTCGGGGACCGAACCCCGACCTGCAAGAGGCGAGACTTTCACTCTACCGTCCAGTCCAAGTTGAAGCTGGTCAGAATTGCATTTCACCTTTGTAAACGCACATTAATGACACTGTAAAACGACACCTCGAACACTGTTTATGTAGGACAAGACGTAAATCTGTGTATTTATGAACAAATCCACAAGGGCCGTGACGAGGATTCGAACCTGCGTCCGAGAGCATCCCAAACGCTGCTTTAATCGACTGGTAAGTTGGTTTCCATTCTTAGGTCTGTGTATTTATGTTCATAGATTAGCATTTTAAAAGCACTACAATCACCTTCTGTGGTTCATTGTTCAGTAAATCACTGAATTATACGTTTAACGCATCTCTAACCCTGTCCACGGAGGACAGAAGAAAGTGTATATATGCTGGTTGGCATTGTTGACCAGACCACACACTAGAAGTTGAAGGGACGACGACGTTTCGGTCCGTCCTGGACCATTCTCAAGTCGATTGTAATTGGTTGGTAAATTACACTGGTTGGCATTGGTAAATTACACTGGTTGGCATTGTAAATGTCTGGCCACGTCTGTGGTAGAAAAAAAAAAGTTCAAGTGGTTGGGCTAATTAGTGCAGACTAATTCGCTGGTGTCAAGAGCAATCTCCCGCGAAGCATCCCGTCCTCTCTTAAGTAAGTCCACTGCGGGCTCACCATAGCCCTGTGCTACTTGCAACTTTTGTGTTCAAAGTAGCTGAATCTATAACAACAACAACCGTGCTCTCGAGCGTCCACAACGTCACTAAACTGACGTACTAAATTGACCAAACCTAATCTGACCGAGGACACACGAACAGAAAACGGCACATCACGTCTATTTTGCGAGTCTACCTGGCCATGATTCCGGGGTTCAGCGTTCCCGCGGCCCGGTCCTCGACCAGACCTTCTTTTTCTTATACATCCCCAGGAAGCAGCCCGTAGCAGCTGTCTAACTCCCAGGTACCTATTTTATTGTTAGGTAACAGGGGCATCAGACCTCAGAACTACAAATCCGAAGCGCTGTCCACTCAGCCGTCAGGCCCCTAAAGCTAACTTAATACACAATTTGTGATGATAAAGAGAAAGCCGTTTGAAAGGCAGGGGTGAGGGGGGGGGGACGGCCATCTTGGTGACTCCCCCCCCCCTCCCCCCCTCTCTTAAACCAGACCACACTGTCAATAACCAACATTCACTAATTCACAACAACATTCTAGACACACGAACGTAATGTGGAAAAATATAATATATGAATATGTTTTATTATTGAGAACATGAACTGGAGCTCTTAAGCGACTGGCACCCGCGCTCTCTACCACTGTTCCACCCTGACTTGTGGGTTAACCAGTCTGGGATTCGATTGAATCTACAGGAAGTCTGGAGGCCTCTTTTTTCAGGGATATTCCTGCGCGGGCCCTAAGCCTCTGGCTGGCCCACTAAGTGTTGCTTGTTTCTGTTTTACTTGGGCGGAGAATGAGTATGTATGACTCGTATGGTCGCTTCAGTAAGATTTTGCCATATGTGTTTAACAACTTCTTCTGCTCTGTTGAATCTAAGTTGAAATCTTAATGGAGGCCTCTCGTGAAGTCACAACAAATTATATGTACAACCGCAGGCAGCCCCCGGTGTGCCTGGGGTTATATGTATAACTTGGTATGGCACATATGATAACGATATAATGGTATGACGCATATTATAACATTTCATCTACGTGGATCGTAGGAGATTCGAATCCTGGCCTCAAAAGTGCCATACTATTATCCTACCAACTAAGCCATGGTTAGTAGGACCACGGCCTCTGAGGGCAGAGTTCGATTCTCCGATGATCCAAGTGAATATATATTACTGTTGTTATTACGTTTAGAGTTGCATATGATTGCTATTGAATATGATGCTTAGGCTTCATTACGTTTGGTTACGTTAATACGGTGTATTATTGACGATAATGTGAAATATGGAATTCGAACACTATTTCAGTGTGCCCGATAATTCCGTTTACAGAAAACACCGCCACCACCTGAGGCACCACCACCACCCCTTGGACCACCACAAACAAGAGCCCAACTACCACCAGGACCAGGAGCACCACCATCACCACCAGAAGCACTACCATCAGCACCATCACCACCATCACCACCAGAAGCACTACCATCACCACCAGGAGCACCACTCACACTCCCAGAAGCACCACCAATGGGTGGAATAACACCAACAGGACCATCACAACTAACCCTGGAAGACCATCACCACTGACAGGATCCCAGTACCACCACCACGACCCCAGCACCACTACCACCACCACCAGTACCAGCATCACTACCACCATTACCACCAGTACCACCATCACCACCAGTAACCTCGCCAGTGTCACCACCACCACCACCAGTACCACCATCACCACCAGTAACCTCGCCAGTGTCACCACCACCACCATTGCCAGTAACACCACCAGCACTACCACAATCACCAGCACCACTACCACCACCACCACCAGCAACCACAACACACCACCAGGAACACCACCACACCAAATCATTCCTCCTCATAGAAAATCCGAACACATTCTTACGCGTTCCAATTTTTACAAGACCCTCCCACTCCCCCCCTTCTCATAAATTAGCTAAGCTGTGCTCACAACTCACAAGCGAGCGGTTTTGAGTAGTTTGCCTCGCTGGCCGCAAATTGCTGCATTTGGCCAAAGGCGGCCATCTTGATCTGGGAATTACAAGTTCCTCTTGCTTTATTATTCCCCGACCCGCCTACTGCATTTGAATACCCTGCTCCTGGTGTTACTTGAGGGGGGGGGGGCTTGGTGGGGAAGCATGTGCGGGCACGCGCGCGCGAGAGAGGTCTATGTGGTCTATGTGGTCCCACTATATCCGGCCACATAGAAGCCGGTCGGCCGAGCGGACAGCACGCTGGACTACGTGATCCTGTGGTCCCGGGTTCGATCCCGGACGCCGGCGAGAAACAATGGGCAGAGTTTCTTTCACCCTAATGCCCCTGTTACCTAGCAGTAAATAGGTACCTGGGAGTTAGTCAGCTGTCACGGGCTGCTTCCTGGGGGTGGAGGCCTGGTCGAGGACCGGGCCGCGGGGACACTAAAGCCCCGAAATCATCTCAAGATAACCTCAAGAT